CTTTTGCCCTTTACTCTATTTCTCTTTAGCACCCGTGAGTCATGTGTCATTGAGGTAACCTGTTCCTCTTGTCAACTCTTTGTCCCCAGGGTTAGGGATGTCGGGAATAAATAGTAAGGTGCACAAGGTTAGGGATGTCTTCTTATTTTGTTCATGTTTGCCTACAGAGCCTGTAACAGCACTTGATGCTATTTAGAAATATTTGTCAAATACGTGAACAAGCAACTGGATATATTGTTTTCTTTTCTCAAGATATTGCACAAGTTAAAATACTGAATTTATGAAATGATTCTTTTAATCATTTATAAACCAGAAAGCTCTTACACACTAGTCCTTTGCTTATTTAAGGAGGGCTGAGGAGAGAAGCTCAACACTTGAGGGCCAGCAGTAATGACTGAAAAGGGCCTGAAACCAGCCAAGTATATAGTGCTAAGAACAGGTCCATCCAGTGATGCTGTCACTTCCTGTATCTACAGAACATCCATTCCATACCTTATACACCTAACCATGCAGAAAGCCAATCCTTTGCTAGGCATCTCTACAAATAATTCATGGCAAACATCTGGTTTGCCCTGTCTCTTTTTATTGGAACTGTTCTGCATCTCAGCATTACAAGTAATTGCTTCAGAGCTGAACTATTGGTTAACCAGCCTTGATGAATCAACATAAGAAACTAGACTCATCCTGAGATGAGCTTTAGATGAATAGCCGGTGTGCCTTCCTTGCTGTACTAGGTCAGCGTTTCTCAACCTGTGGATCACAACCTCTCTGGGGATCAAATGACCCTTTCACAGGGGTTGCCTAAGACCATTAGAAAACACAGATATCTATATTATGGTTTACAACAATAGCAAAATTGCAGGTATGAAGTATCAAAGAAAATAATTTTATAGTTGGGGGTCACTATAGCATGAGGAACTGTATTTAAGGGTTTTAGCATTCAGAAGGTTGAGAACCACTGATCTAGGTTGAAAGCCAAACTCCAACTTTGTAAGAATGGGGGAAATCAGCAGATTCCAGCTGTGAACCACATGGGACTTTGACATTCATGTTTCTAGAGGAATATTTATGAATGCCCAACCTGAAACCGGAAGACAGAAGTAATTACAATGTGGTACACCATGAGTTAAGAGGATCACTTTCTCAGGGTTACCTTCCTTATCAGGTCAAATATGCCTGTTCTATAAATGACCTATGGGTAGGGAGAACTGTGGTTTGCTTGCATTTGACATTCTTTTTATTGCCACTTGGCAAAGATGAGAACAGGCTTATCCAGTTTAATCTGAAATGTTTTGTTTTTCATTCAGGAGCAAAGATAGTAAGAGATCATGGGAGTTCATAGTCAGTCCTTAATCAGAGAGGTCTCCTTAATGTTAGACTATCTGGCAAGCAATACACTTTGTGGTGATCCGTAGAAGTTCCTGCTGGTAAGAATAGTAGGTAAGGAATTACCTTTGGAAACTCTGAAAACTTGCTATGGGAGTGGGCAGGATAGCATCCGAAAAGTACTTCTCTCCATTTTATAACTACAAACTGAACTTCACAGTACTTAAAAATCCAGTGAACTTATCTGCTTACAATAATACCGATGTCTGCCTTTGCTACATTTCGAAAGTTACAACCATTAATCAGTACATTGTATGCACATGTAAGTATGAATACCAACTAAATATTGAGAACTGTGGGTATTCACTTAAGCCTATTCAAACCAAAACCCATGTCTTTGCTATTAACCCTGAAACTACATGCAATCCATTTAAACGTGAGCCCCACAGCCTTAGTTTTAGATAACTGGCCAACACGTTACAGGTGTGCAGGCTTTGACCAAACATAGCTTTTTCCTAGGAAGGCCATCACTACTTACACCTCACCCGAGTCAATGATTTCCAGAGGCTTGTGAAGATAATGTTGCAGTGAGGAAAATCTTGAATATGGTTGTGTTGGTGCCACTGGCAGTAACACTCACTCCCCACACTCACTCCCTAGATGCAAAACTTTGATCAGAATTCGGAAGTAATGGGGCAAACGCTGGAATGGAACACAAAAAACACTCTTCACTTTCTGTGGCTGATTCATCTTAGGGAAGTGCCAAGACAAGTCCTGTCTCTTGCCTGGACAGCCTCCCTCCGTCCTTTCTCTCTGCATGTCACTCTTCTTGCTGATAATAATCGTTTTTGTTTTCTTTTTTAAAAAATACGGATGGGCATGCCTCTGTCCAGTGTTCTTGTTTGGGTTTGGTTTTTGTTCTACTCAGCTGTAGGAAAGGCACACAGCAAAGCAAAGAGGGTAGATGGAGTTTTCTGGGGCTATCTGAGCAGCAGCAGCTGCCCCCAGGGCTGGCTGGCTCAGCTTTCTGCAGGTACCAGATGGAAGGCTTCGAGCTTGGGGCCTGCACCCTCTGGGGTTCCCCTTCCCTGAAGCCCGCGGGCACCCAGAGTGGGTGGGACTGAATTCCAGCCGACAGCCCGCCTTCCCCAACTCACCAGCCCGGGAAACAGCCACAGCGAGGGCGCTGGTTTTGGGTTTCAGGGCCGCTCCTGTCTTCCCGAGCTCTGGTACCCACCAGCAGCCACTGCTCACCAGCAGCTTCACAGCGCCACTGTCATGGGCACAGCTCCCTGCGTTTGCAACCTGTGGCTCTCGATCGGTGCAACGCCAGGCAGTCCCCAACCTCTGCCTGTCCGGGCTGCGAGTGGCAGGGGGGGGAGGACCCCCCCTGCTCGTTTTCATTGACTTATTTTTCTGGCTTTGCGCTGACACCTCTTTCAAAGAGCCTGAGGCAGTGTGGGGAGACCAGCTTTCATATTCAGCTTGCCTACAGACTGGGGGGGGGGGGGGGGGGGGGGGGGGGCAGCCTCCTCTTCCAAGGGCTTCCAGGTAGAGAGCAGAGAAAAGCATTGGATCAGACTGGGGACTGGAAGGAAACCGCATTTCTAAAGTTAGGGCACGTACATAAGAATGCACAGTCCACACCACGGGATGCTTCCTTCCTAAAGCCATTTGGGGGCTAATGGATTACTGCTAAATAAAATGATAAACACGGTCACTAAACTAGTATTTACTAAGTTCATAGTATGTGGCAAGTTCTATACTAGATAAACGCTTTGGATTTTCCCATTAAGTGAAGATCCTGTGCATTGCATTTTCGACATACTCTGACATCCCGAAATACAGACTCAAGGTAAGAATACAAGATTGAATACATCTAATGGTATTTGACGTATTCCTTCACAAATAAAATAGTTCCAAACCTGTTGCTTATACTCATGGTAGAGTTAGGAAGTTTTAATTTAACTCATCCCTGATCGATGCTTCAGAGTTTAAAGAACTGCTAAGATCTGCTAGGAAGCATTTCTTGTGGAATGCCCAAATCACAGGCCAAGCACAAAGATGTGCTTTTCTTGAAGATAAAAATAACAGGGCCGCTGGGCATTGGTGGCTCATGCCTTTAATCTCAGCATTCGGGAGGCAGAGGCAGAGGCAGGCCTCCTGTGGGTGCTTGATGGGGGGATGGCATTCTGTATATAAGTTTCTCTTATTGGTTGATGAATAAAACACTGTTTGGCCAATAGAGGCAGGAAGATAGGCGGAGCTGGGCAACAAGGAGAATTCTGGGAGAGGTAGGCAGAGAGGGTGGGCAAAGAGACATCATGTAGAGATGGAAGATAGGACACGTCAGGCCATGTAGAAATACATAGATAAGTAGTTATGAGTTAATATTTAAGACAGAGCTAGCCAATAAGAAGCCCTAGCCATCGGCCAACAGTTTTATCATTCATATAGCATCTGTGTGCTCATTTGGGGATGAAGCAGTGGAGAAGCACAAGCAACAGGTGCTGGGAACCAAAGCCTGCCCAGGTCCGCAGAAAGAGTGATAAGAGCTCATAAAAACTGAGCCAACTTCTTGAGCTCCAATATCACTTGACTCATAAACATTGTCTTGACTCTTCTACCAGAAAAAAAAAAGTTTGAAGGTAAGGATTTTAAAGGCTCTTTTGTGCCTGGGGTATGTATATGTGGCACAAATTAAACAGATAAAATTTTTGTCTCATTCTTCGAAGCAGCTCTAATGTATATGCAGATACCATTGTAATTGGGAAACTTCTAGATGAAATGGCAAATTCATCATCTGTGTTTCATCCTCCTTTCATCCTCCTCAAATTCCTTGAACATACACACACAAAACAAAATCAATTCTGAACTTCTAAAAATAAATTTTAAACCATAAAAGGAAATAAAAAAGACAAGCGACCTCACCAGATAAAATAATTTGTGATGGAATCTTTTAAAGACGTTAAACCAGTTGGAGGCAGGTATTGACTTAGAGAAGCAGTTTACAGGTGCCTGTCTGTCACAGAGTTAAGGACATAGGGTTATTAGCTCTTCTCCCCCACAAAACCCAGCAGACTGAGCGTTTTTAAGGCAGAAATACTGGCACAGACTGGTGACAAGTGGTGGAGTATTGGGTTTAGTTAGAGACACAGAATGGTTGTACCTGAAGTTCCTACCCACTGTTATGTAATCAATCAAGTTCCTTCATCCGCTTCTTCCAGCCTCCAGTCTTCCGGAGAATACAAGTAAAGTCATGAGTGGCTTACCAGGAGCTGAACACAGACCCTTTGACTCTGCTTATAGCAAGAGTGAACAGCAAAGAAATTAATCCTCCGCAAAGTAGAACAAAAGCTACATAAAATGTTGAAGAAGAGAAAAAGTGACAAAAACAATCATAGAAAGTTCTAGAAGATGAGTTCTTTGTGTGCAGAAAGGGACGGAGGAGTGAATGGAAGGAAATAATGCTTTAAGAATTCCACAAATAAAGACTATGGACTTGTGAGATTGAAGGTTCCCTTTACATTTACTCATTAATTATATATACATCATTCTGAAATAATAGTAACCCATAAACATTAAAAATGTGTTTCGAGCCATAGGCAAATCATTTACACAGGGAAAAAAACTGTGTTGAATTTCCCAATAATGATAGCAAATGTAGATGTTTCCTTGAATGCCTCATATATTTAAAAAATTAATTTATTTTGAATCTATAATTGTATGACCAAATTGATTGTTAGTCATTTAAATGATGGCATTTTCATGCACAATTTTAAAAACGGCTTCCCTGAAACAAGCCAATAAACCAGGAAGAGCAAAACTCAGAAAACTCAAGTCCAACATGAGGGACAAATTAGAGTTCCTCAGAAGAGCTCTCATGAAGCAGGCCAGGGGGCAAGCAGGAGGAAGGCTGAAGTAGGTCTATCTCCAATCACAAGAAAGAAGATGTTAGCATTGGTGCCTGCACACCAGGAAATTATCCACTCTGCTCACCAGATCCCTTTCATTCTCCAGAGCATTCCCTCTGGACTTCTCACTGAGCTCCCTACATGTTGGGGAGCGTTCAATTGAGTGTTAGCCAAGAGTATGAGGCAGAAATGACAGACATCACTGCTAGGTCACATCCTTAGCATGGATCCTGAGTGCCTCCCTTGCCTACTACACCTAGACTGGGTTTCTCTGTGTTACCCTGGATGTCCTAGAACTCACTCTGTAGATCAGGCTGGTCTTGAACTCAGAGATCTACCTGCCTCTGCCTCCTGAGAGCTGTGATTGAAGTCATGCACCACCACCACCTGACAACAATCAAGCTTCTGAAGGAAGAAAGTTATGACCCAGAAAAGTCTTAGCCAAAGAAATCCCAGCTGGTACTGCTGAACCATGACATGAGCAAGAAGTAAAAGTGTGTAATGACATTAAGATTTTGAGGTTGTTACAGCAATTAGACTGTTCGGACTGTCACAATTTAAAAAGAACATTTGAAAGCAATTTTGAGTAATTTAGAGTGTGTACAAAGGACTACATAACATTTAAAAGCACCTTACAAACTCCAGGAAAAACAAAATGTTGTATAAGAAAGGGAATACAAGGTAGAATGCTGCTTTATTCTGGCATGAATATAATTAGTTTGATAATATTCACAAGGGAACTAAGCAAACTGCAGTAAAACTGCATGTGGAAGGTGTGATGAGGGAGACTGGGAATGTGCATGTGTAACAAAGCTAACTGCATCCTCAATTATGGTCACATAAGTTAGTGAGTATTGTGTAAGATGGCCAAATAATAATTACTAGGCTAAGAAACCATTTAGAAAAATGAAAGAGGAACCTGAAAACATGAAATTTATCACTGGACTTAAGGGAAGAACTGTGGCTTCTTTAACACCATTTTCTTCCTTTTCTGTTTCATTATTTTAAAGCTCTCTCTCTCTCTCTCTCTCTCTCTCTCTCTCTCTCTCTCTCTCCCTCCCTCTCTCTCTGTCTGTTTGTGTTTGTAGTATATGCTTGTATACACACAGGTGCCAGCCAGCAGAGGCCAGAAGAAGCATCAGAGCCCTCTGGAGCTTGAGTTACAGTTACAGGTTGTTGTGAACCATCCTAAGTGGGATCAAAGTGTAAATCAAATACCAGGAATGGAGCCCTGGTCCTCTGGAAGAGAAGGGAGTGCTCTTAACTGTAAAGCCTGCTCTCCAGCCCCCTTAAAGACTTTACTTGATTAATTTTGAATGTATTTGTCCTTTGTCAATGTCATATACACATGTAATGCTTTCTGGCCATGCTCTTCCCTCTACCCCCATTTAACCTCTTCCTGCTTTCACCCCCCAAATCTTGATCTCATTTTTATTTCTTCTTGTTTTATATTACCTTAATAAAAAATACAATTTAGAATCCTAATCTTCCTACCTCCACCTCCCTGGTGATAGGATCATGCATGTGTGATACAGTGCTTAGCTTAGGATGGATGGATAGATAGATAGATAGATGATAGATAGATAGATAGATAGATAGATAGTTGGATGATACATATATACATGTATATATATGATAGATGATACATAGATAAGATAGATACATGATATGTAGATTAGATAGATAGATGATAGATAGATAGATAATAGATAGATAGACAGATAGATAGATGATAGATTTAAACAACAAATGTATTTGATTTCTTCTCTCTTGTCTTTTGTGGTATGAACTACAGACATTATAGTCATGATACTGACTTTGAGTCTTCAACATTCTCTTCTTATTTTTTTCTGTATAAACTCCACACTGTTGGACATCATGGTTTCCAGGTAACTTCATTCCTGTAATGAATGATAGTGAAGGTAGGTTTTTCTGGGCAGGCAGAAGGGTGTGGCTGCACCTTCTGCTGATTGCTAGTTCGTGTGGTTTCTTCCTAATCACAAATAAAAATCTGCTCCTCCCCAGCTGGAGGAAACTCCAGAGCATGACTAACCAGTCATAAGACCAGACTCCCAGGCCATGCTGGTTGTCCTACCCACTTCCAAGGATGTAACTTTAGGACATGTGAGTGCTTAGAACTTTAGACAGTAGGTTGATCCAAATGTGAAGCACAAGTAACTCTTTAAACATGTTTTCCACACTGGGCATGCAGTTAGTATTGTATCTGGACCATCCATGTGCTCTGACCTTCTATAACTTCTAATCTCAATTTGCCTCACATGCTTAGAATGTGAAATGAGGAAACCTAATTTGGAGCTTATTGTAATTTATGTTGAATTCCTTTTTCTTATGTTAAAGGAAAACAACATGGAGAGGGCTTAATTTCATGTATAATGTTTGCATGCAATTTTAATGAAAACTGATTTATGAGAAGTCACAGTACAAGTGGGCTCTGATATGTCTAT